CGATGAAACAAATTCACAGGTTAACAGAGCCAGATGAATAGAATACTTTCTCCAGAAGTACTCGTGGGGGGCCTGCCCCCATTGCAATCCTTCCTTGCTCCTGTGTCTTGATTATTAAGTTATAATCACTTATTTGTTTTGTTTTTTCATTTTCTTATCTGTCAAGTGGTAAGCTGATTTCGGTTGTTTTCTTTAGTAAGACACACATTTAAGTCTTTTCGATATAAAAGGAACCTGGAGATAGGCAGCCTCTGCTGTACAGTTGTCTATGCATAGTTTTCATTTCCCAAATGAAATGAAAACATGGCCCATCATGGCTGCCAGGGCTCCAGCTATCACATTCACACTGGAGATCAGAAGAACCGAAAGGCAGGTGTTAACAAAAATAACTCTTAGACTCTGAAAAAATGTGGTTATTAGAAGGAAAGGGAGGGGGTGGTTCAGTGAGTAAGAGCCCATTTGATAGTGTAATGGCGTTAGAACGTTGGTGGTGGGTGAGTGAACCATGTACACACATGGAGGGTATGTAACTGCACTCCTGAGATTATATAGTTTTGTAGATAAATGGTAAATCAATAAAATTTGATTAAAAACGTAAAAAAGCCAACTGCTATGTGTCTTCCCATTTTTATTTATTTTCACTTTTTTTTTTAGGGGCAATGTTGATCAGAAAAATCAGAGTCCACTGCATTTGGAAGTCCTATTCATTTATATCTTCTTTCTGTCTTTCAACAGATATTTATTGAGTACCTGTTGTGAGTCAGGCAGTGCACTAAAAATAGCAGATAGTTTTGCCTGCATGAAACTTTCATTCCACTGGAAGCAGGGATAAAATCTAACAGTGGGTATTGTTAAATGTCCAGGAAAATAAAGTAGCATGGTAGAGATATGGAGAATGAGCTTCTGTAGGGGACCTGTTGTTTTTAGATATGGTGGGCAAGAAAGATCTCTTCTAAATAAGGCAGCATTTCAAATAAGGAGACCCGTGTAAAATAAATGAATAGGGCCTATAGCTTAATAATGGAGGGGAGAGGGTTAGCATGCTGTGTGTGACAGTTTTTTCTTTCTATGCCTGCAGAAGATTTCGGGAAGCTGCATGGGTCTCTCTTGACCTCATCCCTCTTATTCAGAGAGCTGAATGTAGGGACCTTGGATTTACTGCCTGGGCAGGTGAGTCTGAGACACAGTGTTGTTCTTATTCTCTCAAGTGTCAGTAGAGCTTTCTTGTCTGGAGAAGCCTCATGACTGATATTGACCTAAATGCCCTGGCCCTGTTTTAACAGTCACAGAGAATAGGATTTCTTCAAGCCCACTCAGTGTAGGTTCTGAATAAATCCTTATTGAATGGCCATTACATGAAATCTATTCTAGCTTCCATTCAGCTGCTTAGCCAAGAGCCTGCAGGTGCATAGACATTTGGGATGAGTAATGTTGTCTCTTTGTTAAACAGATCTTTTATTTTATTTTGCCTCCTACCTCTCCAATGATCTTTGAATGTCCCTTTATACAATTCCCAAGTTCAGAAGCAGGGAAAACATGATCTGGTTCCAGAGATGAAACTAATAAATAAGGTTGTTTTCTCTTGAGTGATTCTACAGCAGACAAGTGACATTTGTGTATAAAGTGGTATTCAAAGGTGATATAAGGTAGTAGATAAAGGCAGAGTTTCTGGAACCAGATTTCCTGGGCTTAAGTTATGGTCTCCCTTCTGTAACCTCATTTCTGTGATTTTACTTTTTTAATTAATTAATTTTTTAAAATGAAGTATTATTGTTTTACATCCTTGTTAAAAGGGGAGGATTTCTCTCCTCAGGTGTGGTCACTGTAGCTCTCCCAGTACTGAAGCACCATAGTCCTCCACCATAGTCCATTTTGCTCTCTCTCTACTCTGTTCTCACCTCTCCCCTGCCCCTTCTGAATGCCTCAGAACTAAGGTCAGCTTTAAAGGGTTGGCTTTAAAGTTTGTCTTTGTCTGACCCTTTGTTTGGTTTCTCTACATTCCACATATAAATGACACCATCTGGTATTTATCTTTTTCCTTCTGGCTTATTTTGCTTCACATAATCCTTTCCAGCTCCATCCATGGACAACTTGTTTTAATGCTCTATGTCTTTGTTTCCTTATCTCTAAGAGGGGATAATCACACTTACACCATAAAGTTGCATAGAGTTCTTTAATACATACAAAGTTTCCATAATAGTGTCTGGCATAAAATAGGTGCTCTGTGAAAGACTTAGCTATTATTATTATTACTATGTTGTTAGAAGGTAGGGCAACAAGTTATTAGATCTTTATGATTGCAACAGAGATTCAATCAGATTAACTTGTAGAATGTATATATAGGCCCATGGTTAATATTCTTATGCACCAAAAGGGATACAAATTTCTTGGGGATCTATGGATAATCCTAGAACCCAGTTGGAACATAATCCAAGACTTGGACAGACTAACTGCAGCATCAGGGGCTTGGTTATATTGCCTGCTCCTAGCATCTGACATTTTCTTTGCACATTTTCTTTCTAGTCTTTGCCCGTTAACATGACTTGACCATTCTCCCCATATCAGATTATCATTTGTAAGTTTCGTTTCTTAGCTGACTTAGTCTTTTCTGTTTAAATCCTCAAGGGAGAGATACCTGGATGAGTCCTGATAAATGTCCATGGCATAACTCTAGGGTGTCTCATGGCCCTCTCCCCTCTTCACATGTGGACGAGCCCTGGGTTGGGGTGATGTCTAGTCTGATGGCCTGAAGGGCAAAAGTCAGCTGCTTGACAGTGGGTACCCAAGTAGAGGCCTATAGGTGGGGAGATTTCTCCTATAATGGGATTGTGATAACAGTACAGGGGAGACTGGGATCTAGTCCTTTCTGTACTCAAAGGCTGTAGCTATAATCAGTGTCATGGAAGGCAGATCTGCCGCAATACACTGAAAACAGCTGAGCCTGATGACCAAACCTGAATTATTCCGCAAAGCAGTACTGTAGGTTTTTTTTTGTAGCATTATTGTAGTTTCAGCGTGTCCTATGGAGGCAAGGGAATTGCTGTGGCTGCCGCTCTGCCCAGGGGGAGGGAGGGAACAGGAGCTGTCAGAGCGCTCAGTCTTCTGCTGCAGGTACTCTTTGAATAATTGTTTCATTCTTGTCTTTTGTCTTGAAGTCTTCACATTGGTTAACCTGGCTTCCTCTTCTGAATCTGTTTTACATCTTCAACTCCATCATGCCCAGAAATTTTTTTTTTTTAAATTAACCTATCACCTGTCAGTGCTCATTCTGGAACTAAGTAACTGCAGGCAGGGAGGTGGGTTGTTATCATCACATGAATGTTCCCATGTGGAGGGGGATGGGGGCTCCATAGGGCACCCAATAATATGTTCAACAAAACAAAAAGGCATCGTTTGGTTATCTTTGACTATGGGGGATGCAGGTAAATGCTACCCTCTCCCCCAGTTAAAAGCCCAAGTATGTTTTAGTTGTTGGGTGAAAAGGATTGAGTTATTTATCATCCTCATTTCATCATCTTTAGCTATTATTCCTCCATGATCTATCTCATTTTTGTCCATGGCCAATGCAAGGTGCAGGTTGAAGTCAGAAAGTGAGGTAGGGGGGAAGCAAAAGCAAAGCATAGTGAGCACCTGACTTGTGCTGGGAGATTACTCATTCATCATCTTGTTTAATTTTAATAATATGCTTTGAATTAGGGATCATTATATTTATTTTAGACCTGAAGAAATTTAGGATCTGAACAATTAAACCATTTACCCTACAGTTCATAGCAAATTATTGGCACAATTGAAATTCAGAAAGCCAAAACCTTCCTATTGCTGTTCATTCTGAGGAAAGGTCCAAAGGGACCCCAAGGAACTACTTTTAAATTGCAAAATGGGAGTCTTATATTTAATCATGGCTCCCCTGTTCGGCTTCTAGAATTCCCATGAGGCTCAAAATAAGCCATGCATGTGCCATCAACACGTGTTCAAAGCAATGATTGAGAGAGCACGTGTTCCTGACTCTGACATCGGAAAGGTCAGCAAGGGAAGGAACAACCTGTCTTGAAGGTTTTGTGCTCTGGGGCAGGTGCTGCACTTACTTACCCCTTTCACCAAATCTTTAGCCAGAGAAGATAACACGTGGTTCAATGCTCTCCATCTGGCTTTGCTCTCTAGCTTTGCTGCTCTTGGAAAGGAAGCTGGGGGAGATAACTGTTCAGGAGGCAGACAATGGGGTGAAAAGAAGGAACACACTGTGTCCTTAGAAGCATGGGAGTTGATTTGAGGAGACATCCCCAAGGGTAAAGTTGCTTAGCTCATCTGAAGAGATCAGAATGACATTAAAGCAAGATGATGAAATTAGTGAGTGAGAAAGTGGGAAGGAAATTTACGTATTGGAATTAGCAAATTCTACTCCTCTGGTAGGGAGAGGAAGGAAGACACTCCAAGGGGGTTACCTTGTTTCTAGAATGGTGGAGCAAAAGCCTATTTCTCAAAGACCCTTTTCCCTTGGCCATTTACAAATTCAGTTCTGCCACACAACATACCAAGCTTACAGAGGCGATCAGTTACTCATATAATTATATATTTATATGTTAGCATTATTCACATGGATTCTCAGAAATAATTTTGGATACAGAGTAAAAAAGCAGTATTAAATGAAGCAAAAATAAGAGAAAAATGAGGGGAAACCCCAGAAGGGTATAAAAGAATTGCTGTGGGATAAGATAAACTCCAGGACTTTGCCCCTGAGATTCTGTCAGTTGAGGTCTGAGAGAAACAGGAGAATCTGGCTGCAAACGAATGGCTTGAAGGTAAGGGAGGGGAGAAAAGAAGTGCCACGAGATTCTTGGAAACAAATATTTACCATGTTTGCGGACTTCTTAAGTGCCTGGTAGGAACTGCCTACCTTCTCTCTGTTCATGTGTTCAAGTTAAATTAAAAAAAATCTGGTTTCTATTAAGATATATTGTTATAGAAAGATTGGACCAAAATAAGAGAGTCTGTCCCTAAATCTATATGGCCCGTGACTCCTGGAGTCTATCAGTGAGCTTTTTGAAGGCTGCCTTCACATCCTTGTTTCTCAGGCTGTATATCAGAGGGTTCAACATGGGGATGACCACAGTGTAGAAGACAGACACCACCTTGTCTTCCTCCAGGGACTTGTCTGAGCGACTGCGTAGATACATGAAGATGAGGGTCCCAAAGAAAAGGGCCACGGCAGTGAGGTGGGAGGCACAGGTGGAGAAAGTCTTGGCCCTGCCCCCTGAAGACTTCATCCTCAAAATGGCCTTGATGATGAGCAGGTAGGAAATCAGGATGATCAAAGCATTGGTCAAAATCACAAAGTTGCCGAAGAAGACAATGATGATCTGAGCGTTGGTTGTGTTGCTGCAAGAAAGCTTCAATAGCGGGGGGAGGTCACAGAAGAAGAAGTTGATATGGTTGTCATCACAGAAAGAGAGGGTGAAGGTGCACGTGGTACGCAAGATGGCCCCCGACATCGCACACAAGTAGGCTCCCAACACCAAAGCCCAGCAGATTCGAGGGTTCATGGCCACAGTGTAGAGCAGTGGGTTGCTAATAGCCACATAGCGGTCATAAGCCATGACTGCCAGCAGGAAACACTCTGTGCCTGCACAGATGGTGAAGAAAAAGAACTGGGCAGCACACTGGCCATAGGAGATGGCCATCTTGCCTGTGAGCAGTGTGGCCAGGATCTGAGGGGTGATGACTGAGGTGTAGCAGGTGTCCAGCAGGGAGAGGTGGCTCAGGAAGAAGTACATTGGGGTGTGGAGCTGGGTGTCCACCTGGATCAGGATGATCATCCCTATGTTCCCCAGAAGGGTGACTAGGTAGAAACCAAGAAACAGCAGGAAGAGAGGGATCTCCAAGGTGGGGTAGTCAGTGAAGCCCATGAGGATGAATTCGGTTACAGTGGTGATATTATTCTTGGCCATGGATTCAAGGCAGGCTTTTGATCTGAGGATCAGAACGATATAAAAATTGTTCAGAATTGAAGGACGGACTATTTCTCTCTGTGGTGGAAGTTAGGTTTAGATTTCTGAGCCAATCTGTAGAGCTTGTTTTTAAGAAATCCTGTACCTGGTCGATACTTGTTGGGCATCAGTGTTCTTCCTCTACAGTTTTTGGAGCTGATCCAGGAGCTAGTGTTTTTGATTTAGATTAATTCTGGTTTATATTTGGAAGTTTCTGTGAAGAGAAGAGACACACAGACTCAGATTTGGAAAAAGTCTTTCAGCCTCTGTCCTGACCCCACAGGATGTCGGGTCTCTTCTACTGGGGACTCTTTGAGTCTGTGGGTGACCCCCACATGTGGACAGTTGACCTGTATTCTCTCTCTCTTTTTATCTTCCAAAATTGAATTTAGTTTTACCCCTTTCAGATCCTCACAATAATCACAATCCATTCTTCTAATGCAAGCCTTTTAGAAGCTGGAAGATGATGAAATTGCTGTTTATGTTGACGATTCCCTTAGATTACCCATGGGCATTTTACTTATTATATAATTATTCAGTGCACGCTGAAAATATGTCTTTGTTTAATGGTACTAGAATATTTTAAATATATTTTCCTCTTGATACTATTAGGCACAAGTTCTGGATAACTAACCCACAGCACTGATTAAAATTGATCATACTGCATTATAAACTTCAAAGTTGCTAAGCGACTAGTTCTTAATTGCATGCACCAGAAAGAAGGCATGATAGCTATGGGACTACACGGATGTGCTAGCTTATGCTGACACAGCAAGCAGACTGCAGCAGATAAAAATATCAAAACAACACTTTGTACACCTTCAACCTACTCAATGACATGTGCCAATTATATCTCCATGCTATTAATAAAAAGATAACTAAATGTCTTTCTGTGTACTTTTAACTTTACCATTTAGTCTTGCTTTGGGATTTCTCCAGCTCTAAGCTGGGGATCCTGGTGGCGGGAGGCACTGATGTCATACAAAACAGTACTGTTCCCATTCCACTGCATCAGGCCAGTCTTAGTTGGGTAGGGTCGAATGACAAGGTCGCCCTCTGTAGGACACGCACTCATGAGCTGAATAACCTTCCAGAGCTCACTTCCTGTGAGGGCTTCACTCTCTTTCTGAAAGATGGTTGTGTGAGATCATATCATCATTAAAATTCTTTTCTCTCTCATAATCTCTCTGACTGTCCATGCATATGGGCTAAATGAAACTCCTGAAAAGATTTTACTAATATCTGTACCATGTAACAGGCATGCTATAAGCTACTAATTCCTGAGGAATATAAAATATATAGGAGCTACTTCAGTGATTTAAAGTTACTTCAATGTAATATTATGAGAGCTTGGGTCCAAATTTGAGTTAGTCATGTGTTTCAGTTTCTGATAAGTTATCGACTTTTTAATTTATCATTCCTCCCCTGTCTCCCTCCAGCTCCACATCTTCTGCTCCTCACAGGTCTGATCTCTAGTGTATGTGAAGTATATACCCTTCCAATTTGATTTCCTTTATGTTTATTTAGAGATATGTGTATTTTAAAAAAAATTATTTATTTTTGCATCAAAGAACTGGGGTGTAGGCCAGAGGTGCGGAATGGGGAGCAGAACAGGCAGATCTACTGAATACACTGCAGAGGGGAGCAGCAGGCGAGTCAGGAGATGTCTGCTGCACCATGTGGGTCATCTCCCTGGCCGGGGAGTGAGCTAAGGTGCAGGGGAGGAAGTGTGATAGTGCTGAGACTTAACCCCCTAGGCCACCAGGAAGGCCTGAGATTTGTGTACCTGTGTTGCTATTTGGTCTGAAAATACAAGTGTTTTCCTGAGGTTCTATAGTTAGAAAGAGAAGATGTTTAGATTAACCCTGGTGTCCCTGATCCAGAAGTGGGGTGTGAACTGGGGTGTGAACCCCTGTGGGGTGCTACTCCTTCCCGCTGGCCATTTTCTGGGCAACTGCTCTGTGCCAATCAGGGCATCAAACATTCTATGGACAATGTTTCCTAGAATCCTCACCCTGAGGCGCTGCTTTGTCCCCAAGGAAACTATGACTCCGAACTCTAAAGTTTTGCAAAGATCACACGAATAGTGAAAAATCCAAATGGAAACAACTGAGGTCTATCTTATTCCAAAGTCAAAACTCTAGTCCATTGAATTAATTCCACTTCTGGCATCATTACTAGAACTTCAGGAATTTGCAGTGAAATTTTTGGGGTCAGCTATGTGGTCACTCTGCTCTATGAAACCATTTATAGTTTCTAAAATTCATCGAGTGACACATACAGCCCAAAGAGGTAAAAGCTATAAACGTCCAGACAAATGGCTCAATCTTACTTGTGCATCTCACGCAAGCGCTGGATCCCAGTCTGACAAAGTGCCATTGGGTGAGAAGTTCCGATGACGATGGCCAGAGTCTCCACCCACCATCACCATCTCTGGTTTTGTGGACTTTACTTCTGAGCTGGCCTCCTGTCAAGGTTATGACAATTACCTGGTGGAATAATCCAGCTCAAGTCATTTTAGGTTTGGAATCCAGCTAATCTAAGGTCGTTTGAGCATTTTGTAGAGCAACTGAGATTGTTCAACCTTCCTCTTAGAGATGGATTTGTGGGAGAAACATCCTGAGCTCAAGGTTGTCCCTGAACTTGAATCAGCTGGGACAGTCCCTGTGGCTCTAGGGAAAAGCTAGCCTTGCCCTGGAGAACACACTCCAGCAGAGGCTCATTACCTCATCTTCTCCACACCCCTGAGGGATTAGACCAAATCTTGTGGGATGTCGTGGCAACTCCTAGGTCTTGTTGGTCTCAAAGCTCATTTGCAGTTTCTGTAAGAAATGAACTCGCTCCTCTCTGCCTGTGGCCCTGGCCCAATAGTCGGTGGTGCAGGCACTGGATGTGTATCCGAGGTCTCTGCTGGTCGCCTTGCGCCGCGTCCTCCCTCACCCCCTACGACAGCTCTCATGTCAGGATCTAACCTCTGTGCATTGTTTGCTTGGAGTTTCATCAGGAATCATGTTTATTCACTCAGGCAACAATGAGGCTGAGGTCACCTAAATGTTTGACTGTGCCATTGAGTTGCTTGTTAGTTCTCGCTCCTCCAAACACTATTTTTGTCAGTTTGTGTAGGTAGCTCTCTGTGACTGTTCCAGCCTCATCTCTTTTCTGTTCTCTGAAAGGTACATTCTCTTTATGAGAACCACACAGTTTGGTGTTAATTCCACTTTTCTCACATTATCTGTGACTGTTCCTTGGTGATTAGTCTCATTTCCCAGTTAGATCCTGATTTTCTGAGGACCCGGTCTTGCTCCTCCTGGTAACTGTGATCTTCTCAGCATGCCCGCCTCTCCTGCCTTCTGCTTCCACCTGCTCTTTGATGTACAAGCAGAGCTCTTTCAGCAAGAGGGGCCTCAGAGAGACTGTATGCCCCATTCACTCCAAAATAACACATCAGGATAAAATGCTTTGTAATTAGCAAGCGTTCAGCCGAGCCAGGGTGGTTCTGCTACTGCAGAAGAGCGATGAGGCAAGAATATATTACAAGGAAGGGAGGCAACCGCAGATCAGGGCTTCTGGCAGCATCAGGAATTAATTCTATCTTCCAGTGCAGTTTTGGAGAGTATTGATTATTATTTCCTGTAATTAAATATCTATTAAAATAATGTATGGTAAGAGTATGTGTACTGTATTGCAAATGCTTCCTGGTATAGGCAGTAGAGGAACTACCGTAACAAGCAGAGGAAATGGGGAGAGAATATGCTGATCATGATAATATTCCATTAAATATCTCCTAGGGAACTTGCGCAAGTGGGTGATTATGTAGTATTTATTGATTTTCTCCATTTGTCACAGATTGGTGGGGTCTTGACTACTTTTATGTATGACCCAATTACTGATTTGTTGTTATTATTAATATTAAACATTTGACCTATAACTTTAGGACTTTTGGGGAGCAATGTATCTTAGGTTCAGTTCCTTAAAAAAAGAGTCTAGATGTAGGATTGTTTTTCTGACCTTGGGTGCGACCTCCTAGGTATTTCTGGGAGAAGTGAGTCTCTTTCCTGAAGGGAATACTCCAGAGAATACTGTCACCCAGCAACTGCAGGTGTCTCTGCTGTCTCGGCAGCTGGTTGCCAAGAATACTCAATGGGGAAAGGGTAGTTTATTCAGTAAATGGCTTGGGAAACTAGACAACCCAGTGCAGAAAATGAAGCTGAACCCCAGCTCACATCACTCACAAAAATTTACTCAAAATGGGTTTAAGACGTAAACAAAAGACCAGAAATCATAAAGCTTTTATTTATTTTTTATTTTTATTTATACAAGCACTGGGTACAGTCAGAAGCGCGGGAGAGTGAGAGAATTCACCAGAGCCAGAGCAGGGAGCAGAGCAAGCAGAAGGACCGAAGTACACTGCTGAGGGGAGCAGCGGGTGGCAGGAGAGGTCTGCGTGCTATGTGGGACCCTCCTCTGGTGGCCGGGGAGCAGCCGGGGATCGAACTGGTGCTGCAGAGGCTGTAGGCAGCTTCGCAACCCAGCGCTCAACCACTGCACCACCGGGGAGGGCCTCATAAAGCTTTTAGAAGAAAACATAAGGGATAAGGCCCTAAACAACTTTCTTGGCTTTTTGTTTTTGCATTTGACACCAAAATCAAAGGCAACAAAACCAAAAAGTCAGCCAGTGAGATTATATAAAAGCATTGATTGGTAGGAATGTAACTTGGTTCATTTACTGTGGAAAACAGTATGGAGGTACCTAAAAAATTTGAAAATAGAACTAACATGTGATCCAGTAATTTTATTTCTGGGCATATATCCAAAGAAGTAAGAACAGGTATTGAAGAGATAGCTGTTATTGTAGCATTATTTGCAGTTGTCATGATATGTAAACAAACTGTGTCTGTCGATCAATGAGCTGATAAAGAAGATGTAATATATGTACAATTCAGTCATGAGAAACAGGGAAA